GGTCTGGCTGCGGACCGCTCGGGCCCAGAAGCTTCGGCCGTAGACTGCCCATGGGCGCCGCTCCCTCGCCCCGTCGCCTTCGCGCGTGGCGCGTCGCCTCTGGCGCGCCGCCGCGGCGATGGCCCTGCCGCGCGAAAGCGGGAAGCCCTTTCGGGCGACCTTGGATGCGCGGAGCGTGAAAGGCTCCGACGCGCGAGGCTCGACGAGCACCAGCGGGCCCGTGAGGTCCCCCGTGAGGCTCTCGCCGCGGCGCTTGAGGTCGCGCGCGAAGGGTGCGCTGCGCTCGCGCGCATCTCCATGTTCGCCCATAACCCCAGCGGCAAGTGCTTCAGATGGATCCTCTTCTTCCAGTCTCTCTCGACCTTCTCGACGTCGCCCTGATCTCGGGGGTCCACGACGATGCGCGCGATCTGCCCCTCGGCATCCCTGACGAAGCCGCTCTGGAGGTCCAGCGCTCCCAGAAGCCGGATCCGCATGCCCGCGTGCGCAGGGGGCAGTCCGTGCATGCCACCGGTGTTCTTCGGGTTGGCACAGTTCATCATCTTGGCGGCGTCCTTCCTGCTCATCGTCGGAGCAGACCTGTCGGCGGCCTGCGCGAGGAATAGGGGCTTCTTCGGGGCGTCCGCGCCCCGCTGGGCATGCGCGTTCATCCAGCGCGCCACGGTGTCCCAGTAGGACCCAAACATGTGGCCGTTCTGGAACCTTTCCTCCCGGAGCCGGCGATCGTCGGGCTTCAGCTGCGCGGCGTTCCGCGCGGCCCGAATGGCCGGGGAAGCCTCCTTCTGGGGGGGGGCCGTGACTCTGCATTTCGCGTGCGCCAATTGCTGCGCCCCGCCGTTGACGATCCTAGAGTGGAGTGACAAGGTCGGCCATTCGAGGCTCGTGCTCTCGCTGTGCTTCACCGCGTCATCCTCCTGCTTTATGGAATTCTCGACCACGGCGCGCTGCGTCGCGGCATTCCCGAGCGCGGCCCCCCCGAGCGGCCGGGGAGAAAGCCCAGCGCAGAGAAACGCATCACAAGGAAGTCCTATCATCCTGCACGCTCTCCCCCAATTCATATCGCATCATATCGCGCTGCGCCGTCTTCCAGCGCTCTGCCGTGCTCGGGCAGTCCGCGCACGCCACCTGCGTTTCGGGGGTCATCGGGGCGACGTTAGCCCCATCGAGCAACCGCGGCACGTGGGAACGATCTGTGAATGACGCATAATCCCCTTATGCCCCTGAAGATATCGGGCAATACCCCTTCCCACTTGAGACGCGGGAGCAGACGCGCATCATTGTCCGCTCAACATGCCCTGCGCATTTGGCGCCCCGGGCCTTCGCATCTATAACGCAAGCAACCCTCCATGTCGTAGTACTCATGGCTCCTCCAGGCGGGCGTTTTAGAACACCTCCACCGTCGGGGGCTCATCCTGGATTCGCGCCCCGCCCCCCTCCAAGACAGCTCCAAACCATTCCGCCTTCGAATCGGGTCCCGCTCAATTTTCGCGCATTGCAACGCGGGCTGCGGACAGCCGCCAGCCTGTCATGTAGACTGTGGCTGTCACTTTTAAACTGATGCTGCCGCCGCATCACTGTTTATTTTTCGCCCTCATTCATTCCCGCATCCACCATCTTGCCCAACCACCCTCACGTCCTCCATTTCTGCCCCCCCCCCCCGTTCGCAGCCCGTCGTCGTTGGCCCCCCCGCCCCCCCGGCTGCCGTGCTTATTCTAATTGAAACGTTGGCGGCGTGACCATCGGTCTTAACCTGCCCCTCGCAACCTCGCCCCCCCCCTCCCAAGTCCGCTTGGAAAGCGAAGAAAACGGTTGAAACTATCCTGGCGCGATCGCCGCGCCGCGGAGAAACGTTGCACGTGGGGAGTATTGGGCGATGGGGGGCAGCAGCAGTTCGGCGAAGTGAAATCCGTCTGGCGCGAAGGCTGCGGGCGCCCTCCGCGCTGACCTCGCGCGGCGGGAAGTGCGAGCAGGGGCGGGGGGCCACCCTCCCCCCTTGCGCGCTCTGTGGGGGCCCCAGATGTAAAACAGGGGCGGGGCACGTTAATCAAAGCGTGGGCCAGCAACACTCCGTCTGCGCAACCGCGTGCGGAGAGGCGCCAGCTGCGCGCGCGCCCTGGCATGTGGCGCGAGTGATGCGGCACTCAGTCGCGGCGCCGCCTGGGCGCGACCCCCGCGGCGGCCCGCCGCGGGGGCGACGAAAACGGGGCCGACAATTAACGAAGCCCAGAAGAAGGAAAAACGTTAATCAGCACTGGCGCGGCCCGCGCCGGGCAGCAAGGAGGGCCTGAAAACTGCGTCCCAAGGGGGGCGGCAGGCCAGATGGCCTGCAGAAAGTCACCCCGAACCGCTTGTGCACGGTGGAACCTGTCAAGCAGCGGAGCCGACTGTTCGTGGATGCGCTGAAGGGATTGGGCGAGGTGGTTGGCTCGCTGGTGCAGCGCGTTGGTGCTGGCGATGAGGCCAGATTGGGGGTCGCCGTCATGTTGCCGTGTAGCCGCGAAGTGCAGCGTGAGGGTTTGCCTGCAGCCGGGCCGCTGGGTGCGCGACGATCCGCGCCCTGTGCCAGTGGTGGCGCTTGGCCTTTCGCCGTCCTGCGCGCCCTGGTGGGAGGAGGGGCCGCGCGCTGGTGGCGGGGGCTTGTGGCGGTGGTTTGGGCAGGGTGTCGAAAGCCACCTGTTCCTGCCCGTGGAAAGGGCGCGGTTGGCACGCATCTTGCGGGCGCGCGCGGTCACTGCGTTCGTCGCCGCCGTCGCCGTCTTTCGCAGAAGCGCCGACCCCGATCAGGGCGAGATCGCCTCCGTCAAGGTAGTCGAGATTGCCGGGCCATAGACGATCGAAGTGGTCGAGGGCCGTCTGGGTGGTCGGGGCCACCTGATGAACCTGTTCCTGTCTGGGTCTGTTGCAAGGGGGTTGGGTGCCATCTCGCTCAGTTCAGCCGGAGTATTCCGCTCTTCCGTCAGGCAAGGGGAGTGCCTGGCGACGTCGGCCATAGATGGCGGTGGCCGCGCGGTGGAGGACAGCGGCGAACTTATGTCGCCATTTGGCGGCGTCGATGAAGTTCTGTGGAAGGGCGTGCAACCGCGCCTGCAGCGGCGGGCTCGTCGGCACGGCGGTTGAAGGCTCCGGCGAGCGGCGCGGTGCACCCTGCATTGATGCCGCGTTCGCCCGCGTGGCTTTTTTTAAACGCGTCGGGTTTGGCCTGTCGGAGCCGGCGGATTTTACGCCAGAGGTCGGCCTGAGCGCCCGGGCGCGGCGGTGGTTCACCAGAGAAGACGCCCTCGAATCCGTCGACCGCCGCTCGGCTGCAATTGCGAGCCGGCCGTGCAGCCGTGGCGCTGAGATTAAGCGTGGCCAGCTCCCCAGCTCGCTGCGCGGACTGGGCCAGCCCGCGCGCCCGCGCAGAGAAGTCGAGCCGGCGGTGAGGCCGTAATATCCTCTTCTGCCAGCCCTACCAAGACGCGGGTGTGCTTGGTGAGGGCGAGCTCCGTCGGTGGCAGCGTTGGCCCATCGGAGGGGGGCGAATTGCCGAGCTGCACATTTGGCCTTGCAACATGTGCAGAGAAGCCGCGTGTTAACGAAGTAGACAGGACCCTGTTTGACAGCGGCGACGGCCCTCAGGCCACGTCTGGTGATTGGGATGCGTCGGAGGAAGGACCTTCTCTGAGAAGCATGGGTCATGGGCGTGGACAGCCCTGCTGGGAGGTGTTTCCAGGGCAGGGGGGTGCTCCAATCATCATGCATCATGCCGGAAGCTTGTCAGCGCCACTCGAGTGGGCAATGATTTGCCACGCCCTACCCAAGGGGCCTCCTCTTTGGAACGATTGCGCGTGGTCGCGCTGCCCTTTGGCTATGGTGTCCAGGCTGGTGTCTCTCCGCACTTGCTTTCTGAGACAAAATAAAACATCTCTTTCCATGAAAACACCCAGTTCGATGGCGCGCACAATAGGCCCACTCTGACATCCAAGATCTTCCCGTGGGCCTGATGGCCGTGAACGCGGTGTTGTTGCAAAGGTTTCTGGCCTTCTGGCTGGGCACTTGAATGTCGGTGCCGACGGTGCACATGCTGGCCACGAGGGACCTGGCAGACCGTGCTCTCGTGCCTTCGTGGAAACGTCCAATACGGGGCATTCTGGTAACGGCCCGTCGGATCCCGGCGTCAATGGTGACCTCGAGGCTCAGTATGGTGTCGTCAACAACACGCGCGATGTTGATGTAGTTTGCTACAAGCTTCACGTGGAGGTGGGTGTGCTCGCCCGCTGAGCTGAAGGGAACCACCTGGTGGTGGAGTTGTCCGCCAAAGGCCCATCATGCCAGGGTGGATCTTTTGGCCGGACAACATGTCGAAAAGGGCGGTCTCGTCGAGTGACGTTTGAAACTCCCTGGCCGCGGGGGCTGTAGAATTGCTATCGTCGGCTAATCCTGATTTTGGCATACCCCGCATGAATCCTTCGCCTGGCGGCATCCTGAACTTCGCAAGCCCCACCTCGGCATGTCCCTCACACGTTTCGTAGCCCCGCAAGAAGCTCAATCGAAGGCCCCGCTGGAAGGGTTCGCATGGCGGCGCAGATTCGTGGCCCCAAATGGAATTCCACCGAAGGCTCCACTGGCAGAGCTCGCATGGCGGCGCCGCGCCCATATCGACACACCCTTTAAACGTTTCGTGGCCCGACAGGGAGCTTCACCGAAACCCCCAATGGCAAGGTTCGCATGGCGGCGCCGCCCCAAATCGAACCACACAACAAATTCCACGCCCAAGTGGCAACGCCCCCATGGCGGCACCGCCCACTGTTGGTGCATCCATCACACGTTTCGTGGCCTTGTAGGGCGCCCCATCGAATGTTTCAATGCCGTCGCCCGCATGGCGGCACCGCGCCATTCTCGGCACACCTCGCACATGCTCTTCGGCCCCATAAAAAAAACCTCCCTTCCTTCGTCTCCCTCGCCTTGCGGTAATCACGCCAGCATGTGGCTTGGTTCTTAGCCCAAATGCATGTTCCTTTTCCGGGAGGAGCGGAAATGGGGAGCACGCGACCACTGAATCTCACTACGGCGGCGTGACCGGCACAATTACGTGAGACAGAAAATCGCCAGGCAATCTCGGATCGCTATACGAGCCGACCTGCCAGAGGCAAACTCACGCGATAAGCAGCAGCTTGGATAGGGAAACGAATACATGTTCTATTCGTCAACGTCGTCCCCATCCCGATGGACATGGGAACCAATCGGTCAGGCGTGCTCCTCCCAGAGCAGGCTCCCACGTATGATCCCTCCCGGGATCAAAGATATAAGCCCGGCGCGACCCCAAGAAGGGGGCGTTTCTCCCTCTATCTCCTTCTCTCTCTATGTTTTGTTTGTTATCCCTCTCTCTCTCTTTCTCTTTTTTTTTTTTTTTTTTTTCTCTCTCTCTCTCTCTCTCTCTCTCCTTTTTTTGTTTTTGTTTTTTTGTTCGGTCCTATCTCTCCTCTTGCTCTGTCTCTCGCCGAAACCAATGCGAAAAGGGGACTTGCAACGTACATTGTTTGGCATTGCGTGGCATTGCTGGGATTCGTTGTTTGGAAATGTTTGGCGTTGTTTGGATTCGTTGCTTGGCGTTGGTTGGCGTTTGCTTGGTTTGCCCCAGGCCGAAGAGCCTCGAGGAACCTGGCGAAAGTCAAAACGAAGCCGAGGGCCGCTTCTGACGATGGGCGCACCCACCAGTACTACCACGAAGCAGACCCTCTATAATTGGGAAAACGATCGCTTCGCTGGTGGTAGAGGCAAACATTGTCTGCCACGCGAGCAGAGGTTCGCCGGGGGCACAAATTGCGACAGCGGTGCAACGATAATCCAGTGGTGAACCCACTTTTTCAGGGTCTCGATCAAACGCTGAGATTTCGCAGAAGCACACAGCAAGGTAACTTTCTGTGGCGCAGCAGAGGCGACGGGACTCAAACCCGGGCTCACGCAGGGCACCTCCTCCCACTTCTGCTTGCTGCACCTCCGCATCACGGCTATCCACCAACCCCCCCTGTAGGCTGCCCGGTGACTTCCCGCATCGACCGGACTTCGTCCCACCACGGCTGAATTGTGGGAGGCTCGCCCGTGACCTACAGGATCCGATGGGTAAGTCCGCGGAAATTTGCGTGATGAGCGGCGCATGCTCGTAATGTCTCGCCTGCGCCGATGCGGCGGCCCACCGGCGGAAAGATCAGCCGCGAGTAAGCACCCGCCCGCGATTCCGTATCTCCCAGATCCTTCCGCTTCCTCCGTTTACTTCTCCCCTTCGTCCTCTCGCGCGCGCCCCCGAATCCTCCTCCAGCTGTCCCTCCCCCTCGTCGAAAACGCCCTCCTCTCCCCCAGGCCCCTCTTACTCCTAAACATTATTCCTCCGTTTGCCCCCCCCCCCCCTTCGCTCCTGGATCTCCACCTTCTCCTCATCCAAGCGGCACGAGCATCTGGTCAGTCTGGTGCTTGTCCAAGAGCTCACTACCACATGAAGCAGCCAGCGCCGTCTGTAACACTTGAATGGACGTCGATGGAAAAAAAAACAGCGACAACGCGCGGTGGCAACTTATAACGGCGAAGAAGAACCCAACAATATGTGGTTGTGAATGCCGCAATTGTGCGTATCCACTTCGGTGGAGCTCCCTCTGGGGCCACGAAACGTGTGAGGGGTGAGCTGAAGTGGGCGCGGGACGCATGTGGACGCATCCACTGGGGCCTTCGTTGGAGCTCCCTGTGGGGCTACGAACCGTGTGAGGGCTGTGCCGACATGGGCGCGTGACGCATGTGGACGCAGCAACTGGAACCTTTGGCGGAACACCCTATGAGACCACGAACCGTGTGAAGGGTGTGCCGAGATGGGCGCGGGACTCATATGGACGCAACCGCTGAGGACCTTCGGTGGACCTCCATATTGGGCAACGAACCGTGTGCGTGGTGTACCGAAATGAGCGCGGGACGCATGTGGGCGCAGCCACTGGGGCCTTCGGTGGAGCTTCCAACGGGGCAACGAACCGTTTGAAGGGTTGCCGACATGGGCGCGGGACGCATGGGGACGCAACCACTAGGGCATTCGGCGGAACTCCCTATGGGGCCACGACCCGTGTGAGGGCTTTGCCGAAAAGGGCGCGGGACGCATGTGGACGCAACAACTGTGGCCTTCGGCGGCGCTCCCTATTGGGCCACGAACCGTGTGAGGGGTGAGCCGACATGGGCGCGGGACACATGTGGACGCAGCAAGTGGAGCCTTTTGTGGAGCTCCTTATGGAACCACGAACCGTCTGAAGGGTGTGCCGACATGGGCGCGGGACGCATGTGGGCGCAGCCATTGGGCCGTCGGCGGAGCTCCCTATGAGGCCACGAAGCGTGTGAAAACTGTGCCGACATGGGCGCGGGACGCATGTGGACTCAACCACTGGGGGCCTTCGGCGGAGCTCTCTAAGAGGCCACGAAACGTATGACGGGTGTGCCGACATGGGCGCGGGACGCATGTGGACGCAACCGCTGGGGACCTTCGGTGGAGCTCCATATTGGGCCACGAACCGTGTGAGTGGTGTACCGAACTGAGCGCGGGACGCATGTGGGCGCAGCCGCGGCCTTCGGTGGAGCTCCCTCTGGGGCCACGAAACGTGTGGGTGGCGTGCCGAAATGGGCGCGGGACGCATGTGGGCGCAGCCACTGGGGCCTTCGGTGGAGCTTCCAGTGGGGCAACGAGCCGTTTGAAGGGTTGCCGACATGGGCGCGAGACGCATGGGGACGCAACCACTAGGGCATTCGGCGGAACTCCCTATGGCGCCACGACCCGTGTGAGGGCTTTGCCGAAAAGGGCGCGGGACGCATGTGGACGCAACAACTGTGGCCTTCGGCGGAGCTCCCTATTGGGCCACGAACCGTGTGAGGGGTGAGCCGACATGGGCGCGGGACACATGTGGACGCAGCAAGTGGAGCCTTTTGTGGAGCTCCTTATGAAACCACGAACCGTCTGAAGGGTGTGCCGACATGGGCGCGGGACGCATGTGGACGCAGCCATTGGGCCTTCGGCGGAGCTCCCTATGAGGCCACGAAACGTGTGAAAGCTGTGCCGACATGGGCGCGGGACGCATGTGGACTCAACCACTGGGGGGCCTTCGGCGGAGCTCTTTATGGGGCCACGAAACGTATGACGGGTGTGCCGACATGGGCGCGGGACGCATGTGGACGCAACCGCTGGGGGCTTGCGGCGGAGCTCCCTATGGGGCCACGAAGCGCGAAAAGACACGCAGAGGGCAGAGGCAGGGACGGAAGGGGAAGGACAACAAAGAGGGAGGAAGAAAGAGTGACGGAGACTCGGGGCGCTGTCTCTTCGAAACGAGGACCCCCCACCACAAATGGTTGGGAAATTTCTGAGGGAGCGCGATCCACCGTCGCTGCCCTGAACGGCTTTTATTATACGACGAGAAGTCTGACACCAAGGCCCTCCGCCCCCTCTCCCCCTTGAGCAAGAAGCCGACAAACGCACGGGAAATGGACGGCCCGCGCTGGGACGCCTTGGCGGCGCCGCTCCTGGCGCGCTCCGCGCGCCAGGGAAGGGGGGTCCAGCGCCCGGGCATCGTCGCTGCATGGGCTGGCGGGGGTGCACGCCGCGCTGGCACTTTCGAGCACAGTCGCACCAACGTGAAGACTGGCAACGCCAGCCGTACATGGCAAAGCTCGAGCTCGCACGCGAGATCAGGGCTGAACCTAAACGGTGTTTTTCGTTTTCGTGGTGTGTTCGTTTTTTCCTCGTTTTGTCTTCGATCCGCCTTTACCGCAAAATGAAATCGAAACGAAAACGGCCCACGAAATCGTTCGAACACCGTTTGGGTCTAGCCCTGATTGCCCTTGCTCTCGGCTCGCGCGAGTGCGGAGTCTCATCGGGTTGAAGGCGGGCTCGAGGGGCGACCCCCTCTGGCCATGCCCATCGAGTCTGGAACCTTTCAGCGCGCCGGGGTCCTGTTTTTTCTGCTGCTTCCCCGCCTGCCCCTTCGGGCGCGCGCCGCTCGGCGTGGAGGGCGGGCGGGGGCCCGCGGGAAGCCCGTCTGGGGCAGGCTCGGCGCGCGGGCGCCGAGCTCGAGATCCGCGCCGCCCACGTGCTCCGCGGGCGCTGCGCCTCCCGCGCGAGCGAGCGGCGGTGGGTTTCAAAGACGCAGCGCCGCAAGCCAGATGTCCAGGGCCCGTGGAGGGGGAGGAGGAAGAGGAGGAGGAGGAGGAGGAGGAGGAGGAGGAGGAGGAGGAGGAGGAGGAGGAGGAGGAGAAGGAGGAGGAGGAGTAGGAGGAGGAGGAGGAGGAGGAGGAGGAGGACGGGGAGGAGGAGGAGGAGCAAACGTAACCGATGAGGTCACGTTCGGGCCGGCTAGCGCGGCGGCAACGGCGGCGCGGGGCGCGCGGCCGTCATAGTCGCCCAGGAGCTGATCGACCGTGTCGAGGCAGCTCTCGTCGCGGAAGCTCGCGCTCAGGCTGTCGAAGTACTCGTCGTCGTTAAAATTCTTCGCTGGCAGCGCCCAGGCGACCTCAGGCGGCAGGTTCCGCGTGTGCTCGTCGTGGAATTCTTCGCACGCGGAGTTGTAAATGTCCTCCAACTTGGCGATGCGCTGGGTGAGGGTCGAGTGGCACATGCGAGCATCCGCTGAAAGCTTCTGAATCTGCTCGAAGATGGTGGCAGAGGGCTTCTTGTGCGTGTGGGCTTTCATCGCGATCACCTTATCAGAGAGAGTCTTCGTCATCTCAGTTCGGAGAGTTGCCATGTCCTTGTTGGTTGATCCGCTGGGTGAGGGTCTCACTGTCCTGGCGCGCTGCCGCGGAGAGCGCATGCGTCTGCTCGGAGACGGTGTCGTAGAGAGTCTCGTGGGTCGTGGCCATCATCACATTCACCTGAGCGGCGAAGGTCTTCAGCGCCTCGGTGTTGAGTGAGACCATGTGCACGAGCGAGTATTCGGACATTTGCTGTGTGGCGAACGGGTTCGGGGCCGAAGGGGCACCGCTGACGAACGTCATCTGCTTCGCCAGCTCCTCTTTGAGCGTTGCCATTTCCCGGGGCCGTGTCTTTGGGCGTGGCGCGCAACTTCTCGACGGTGGCGAAGGACCGCGAAGCCAAGGGCGCCGAGGCTGTGTCGTTTAAGTTCGGGTGCATGATGCCCGTGGTCTTGTTCTCGGGCACCGCGAGGGGTGGAAACTCGCCG